CTTAACATTATCTACACTCATCTTGGGGGAAGATAGCAGTAATTAATAGTATGGTTTGAACACCCACAATCTGAAAATCCAAAATTCAAAATGCTCCAAAATGTAAAACATTTTGAGCACCAACATGACAAAAATGGGAAAGTCCATAACTGACTTCATGTGATGCATTGCAGTCAAAATACTAAAAATGCTATATAAAGTTACTTCAGGCTCTCTGTAAAAATGAATATGAAACAAAGGAATTTTGTGGTTAGACTTGGGTTCAATCCTTAAGAGATCTCACTATGTCTATGCAAATATTTTAAAATCCAAAATATTTCTTGAAAGAGGAGACCACCCCTCTGTATGGCATTGGGCAACTATGGGTTAAATGTGTTATTAGGCAACTATGGGTCAAGTAGATAACTATGGTCTTTGTAGAATGTACCTGAGTAGCCATGACAGCTTCTGTAATGTCAAGAAAGGAGTGTTAACAAACTCAGAAAATCCTGCCAGAACTCTTTGCTCTCCCCTACTCCACTGCTCTGCTTTGTGTAAATCTTGCTTGCTATATTCCCAGGGAAAATTTAATGGAATCAGGCCTTGTCGATGTCAAAAGAGGTATATAAAAAAGCACTAACTTCTATTCAGGGCTCTTGAGACTGACAGGAATCACTTGCTTAACCACTAGCACTATAAGCCACTTTTTTGCTTCTATCTTCGTGTTAAGAGTATCTGTCCGGAGTTCTCACAGTTACCTGCTTCATTCAGACCCCAAGTACTTTGGATAAAGGATACTCAACCTTAAACAACTAATTTTATACAGGTCCTATACTTAGGCCTGCTTAAAATTAACTCACTAGAGAGTTAGAAATTTCCAATTTGTAGTTATATTTAAACCACTAATTTAGGTTTACCCTTTTTTTTGGTACCGGAGATTGAACTCAGGACCTTGTGCTTGTGAGGCAGGCGGTGGAACCACTGAGCTAAATTCCCAGCCCTAGGTTAACCTTTTTAAAGTCTATTAATTTAACATAATCCTATATTGGTATTTGAGGAAAAGGCTTTCTATATAGAGTATGAATGAGGTTATAAAAACATGTAATAAAAACATTTTCCAAAGAACAAAGACATCTAAAGCAGGACCACTTATACCTCTAGTTACACAAGAGACAGATACACTCAGAAAGTTAAAACCTATCTTGTGATCACACTGTGTCCACAAAGCTATTTTATTCATTGCTTTGTTGCACACCAAGTTACCTCCTACTGCCCAGAACTTGATCCCCAGCCCCTGGCCACCTGTGTTCACCTTACCTGACTAAACTTCCCCTCCTCTTCAGCATTTCTCTACCCTCTCTATTGAACTCACTAACCTGTAAGATTAAAAAACTTGCTGGCTGCTGTTGTGCTAAAAAAACCTCAGAGGCCTAGACTTGTACACTGTAGTGAAGGGTGGACTCTCTGCCAGGAAACCTGTAAAAGGGTGGACTTGTGCCTTTTTCCAGGAAACCTGTTGTCGGGTGGTTCCTTTAGAAATGGCTCACCAAACAAAAGTATTAGCAATCCTTCTCATCTTGAACAAAGACTTGGACATCTTGAACAAAGACAGGGCCAAAAGTTTAAAGTGAGAGGTGAAGTTGGATAAAGGAAGAAATAGCTCTGCAGTTCTCTCTGCCAAACAGAGAGAAAAGGATAAAAAGTAACAACAAAAGTACACCCAGGAGACACAGGGTAGGCTGTGGTGAAGTCAGGATACATCTCTATTATGGTGTCCACATCTTGTGGCAGCTCATGAGAAGTTCTATATACTGAGTCCTGAGAGTTATCTGGTGCCACCCTGGGGTCTTGTTAATTTACAAGTCCTGCTTATTTCCCCAGCCAGTTTTGCCTATCTGCTGTGTCAAACATACTGTTTCTTCCCAAACAAGTCCAGAGGCATACAACATGGCATCAAAAGGCTGTGTAATCAAGCCACCACCCTACAGAATCAGGCCTTGTCCTGGACCCTTCCTGGCTGGCTGACCACTTTCTGGTGTTCCTGGCTCATACTCCTTCTTGGGCCCATTGTTTCAATACCTTTAATCACATTTGCCCCTTGCCTCTTCCAGTCTTTGTCTAGCTTCATCCAAACACAAATGTTTCAGTTCACTTCTCAAGGGGCTACTGCCGTTTCTCACCAGTTGTCCCTACCAGCTCCACAATTTTGCCTCCCATTCAGCTTGAAGAGTTTGATGAGCACCCATTCCCCCTTACCCAACACCTTACCCTGTTCTTCATTACCTGTTAAAATCCAATAAATGATACCCTATTTGTTCCCAGCTGTCCAAGTTCCTGAACTCCATGAACAATCATAGCCTCTCCTTACATCCTGCAGCACACCCTGAAATTAAGTGAAGGTGCATCTGGGGCAACAAAACATTAGCCATTGCTATGACAACCAATTGCCTCATGACAGTTGCCGTTCAGCTAGTCTCACTTCACTGATTCTTGCTCTCGGCCTGTCAATAAAAGGCCACTTAATAAACCTGAGGCACACTTCCTCTGCTAGCCATTCCTGGGAGGTCTCACTCTGAACCCAAAATTTGGGAGGCAGGTGGCGGCACCACTGAACTAAATCCCCAGCTGAACCCCAAATTTGGGCTGCCCGAGTTTTACTGAGTCATCACCATTTACCTAACAAACAACAAAAAGTCTTATTCACCAGGAATAGTGGCACATGCCTGTAATCTTAGAACTCTGGGAGGCAGAGGTGGGTGGAGCACTGCAAGTTTGAGCCCAACACGGGCAAATTTGAGAGACCATGCCTCAAATAAAAATGAAGGGCTGGAGATGTAGCTTAGTGTGAAGGCCTTGGTTTCAATCTCCAATACCACTGGAAAAGAAAAAGTGTTTGTTAGTAGAGTAGTCATACATGCCTGTAATCTCAGCTATTTCAGAAGCTGAGGCAGGTGGATTACCAAATTCAAGGTAAGCCTGAACAACTCAGCCAGACCCTGTCTCAAAAAATAAAAAGGACTGGGGTGTAGTTCAGTGGTAGAACTCTTGCCTAGTATGTGTGGGTCCCTGGATTCATTTTCTAGTGCTATAGAAAAGTCTTTTTTTTGGTCAACCTCTTAAAAAAATAAACATTCATCTTTTAAGAATAAAGAACTTATGTGGTGGATTACAAACCTGTAATCCCAGCTACTCACTCAGAAGGCTGAGACAGAATTGTGAGATCGAGACCAGCCTCAACAACATAGTGAGACCTTGTCTCAAAAAAAACTTGAGAGAATGAATGAATAAATTTAGCTAGGCATGGTGATGCGTGCCTATAATCCCACCATTCAAGAGGCTGAGGCAGGAACATTGCCTAGCAAGACCCTGTCCAAAAAAAAAAAAAAAAGAAAGTGCTAAATAGAACCTTTATCTAAAAGTGACTCTGTTCACATATAATTTAGCATTTCTCTTTACATTCCAAAATCTTTGAAAATTTAATCCAAAATGTGAAGACCAATGAACAATGGTAATTTAAGCTAAGTGTGTTTGTGAAAATTTAAGTCATTTAGGATACATACCTTTAAATATAAGGGGAAAGAAAGAAATTAATTCCAAAAGAAAAACAATAATTTCAAAAGAAGCAGTATCCTAAATTCAAATGACATAATGAAGGTCAGTTGTAGTTCATGTCTAAGGATACAGGAATTTACTTGAGAATTTATGTTTTTATTTATACTTCTAGTTGTAACACAGCTTGATAAATTCATTGGTATATGAAAAGTAAAAAAAGATTTTAAAAAATCTGAATTATATTAATAAGTAAAGTAAAATAATGTTAAATGTCAAAGATTAAAAAGCCAGGGCTGAGGATTTAGCTCAGTGGCACTGTGCCTGCCTCTCAAGTGCAAGGTCCTGAGTTCGATCCCCGGTACCAAAAAAAAAAAAAAAAAAGAATGAAAAAGCCTTATTTCTAGACAGATTTAAAGACTGTCAGTTCAACTTCTCTGACATATCTGTGACCATATTCCAATGGATAAATCCATATTTTAACTGAAAATTTAAAATTAAAACAGAAATATACCAAACTCAAAAATGGCTCAAATCTTAGTGGTATGTAAGGATTAGTTCTCCACACTGGGACATGACGCACAGAATTATGCAGATTACACCACTGTTCTGTGGGTCGGCTGCAACTCCACACTTTGCTCTCATATGCAACTTTATCAAAATGTAAACAAACCATTAACAGCAGAATGTTAACCTTGAATTTTCTCTAATTTTTTTTTTTTGGTACTGGGGATTGAACTCAGGTCCTTGCACTTGCAAGGCAGGCGGTGGAACCACTGAGCTAAAATCCCTGGCCCTAATTTGTTTTTAAAAAGTATATTAATCACATACAAAGCACAAATATTTTGTATGAGTAACAACTTGCGACATTTCACAAACAACAGGATGTATCAGTGTGTTGGAATACCAATTAATGATTACTAGCTCAGTGGTTTCGATCCCTGGTATCAAAAAACAAAACAAAACAAAACAAAACAAAAAACAATTAATGATTACTGAGAATTTTATAAAGGTTTTAGAAAATAAAACCTTGTTTCTTGGGATGCAAGAATTTACATTAGTAATTTAAAATATCTATTTGAGAAATTTAAAAATTGATAATTGATAAACTAAATCTGTTTGTACAAACCAGGTATCTCAGACATGTCTAATTCAGGCTGAAGCTTCTGTTGATGCCCTCTCCTCTATATAATCAGACAATGGGTGGCATGCAGGATCAAGTTCTAAATGGTGATATGAAGAGTGAGACAACTGCTTGGCATAGAGCAAAATCCTAAGGCAACAGGGTAATTGTAACCCAGTGTGAGGTAAAGGTTAAATGGGGACAGGAAACTTCTAGTGTATAATACAAAACTGCTAATGAACTATAATATATTAACCAAGGTCAACATGTCAGGACATCTAAATCCCTTTCTTGGTGTTTTCAATGTAGAGGCTTTAAATTTTATCCCAGGACAAAATTTAACATGACATACATCAAAGAGAAATTGGTTTTATTTTACTATACAGAACAAGGGCTGGCCAGCTTTTTAAATTAAGGGCCAGATAATAAATATTTTAGGGTTTGCAGGTTACATCATCCAATCTGTTGCTTTTGTTTTTACAGTATTTAAAAATATAAAAACTATTCTTAGCATACTGATTGTATAAAAAAGGTGTTTGTTTAATCAGGCTGTTGTCTACAGACCCCAATATGAAAGAAAAGTAATTCTTAACTATTAACCCTTCCAAATACAACCCCTCTTTCTAAATAATTTCAGATAGAATAGGAATTAGGAGTTATCTGAACACTGTAAGAAGAGGTGATCTCATCTAACTTTCCAAGTGGCAAACTGGCAGATCAGAGGTCCCAAATGATTTGCTTATACCAGAAAAGACAAATGCACACTTTCCTTCCTCTTTCATTTCTATCCAAGACCTCCCTTTACAATAAAGTATAGCAGAGTTTTACTCTAATCACAGCATAAAATATGTTTTACTAGATATTTTTTTCACATCCTTTTATCATGTTCAAGAAGTTCACTCTAAGGAACCATGAAAAACTTATAATTTTTAATAAATATTGGGCTAGCATGAGGTTTAAGGAGCCTCAGAATTCTGTGCAGTCAGGTGAGCCAGGCTGGCTTCCAAGTAGAAGGCACTACTGGGGGTCATCAAAGATTTCAGAGAGTAAAGCAGGTGCTAGCCAGTGTTTCTCTTTCAAGTTCTCCTAGAACATCAGGGCTACTACACAAACACCTTATAGGAAGTCCAATCCTGTTTGTCTGTAATTTTTCCTGTTACCATACATTGCATTAGGAATTACTTTAATGCCACTTCTTAGCGTTAACTACATGTAAAAAGAAAAAAAAAAAAGAACATTCTCATTTTCCTTCAAATGGTAAAACCAAAGCTTATTCTTTGTACCTGAGTTTCTAGCTGTTTCCCACAAGCATTTCTGATTAAAAGCCTACTTTTATTACAAAGAATTCTTCTAAAGCAAAACAACTGTAGTCAGATATTTGAAACAAACTTTGCCTAAATTTAAAACATGAACTTAAAAACTACTTCAGAGAATATGTTTACCACTTATACCATAAAACTGTATCATAGGTGTCAATTCAAGTTTTGAAATTCCTTAGACCTTTACAAATACACATTATATAAATTTATAAAATATTATCAATGATAAATCATGTATCATCTAGCTTCTTTAGGAAATGGTTTCACATACCAACTCCTGAAATATTACAATTCCAGCAAGTATAGACCTGCAAATATTTCCATTTTAGATATGAGTGTTTTCTCCACATCCTGTCCTTATCACATAAATTTGATGTCTTTAAGAATAAAAAATAAACACATTTTCTTTAAAAAGATTAAAGAAAAATTATCATTTCCTCTTGACTCATAAATGACTTATAAGTCTCCCTTTTATTCTACTGTATTTAAAAACTGTTCTTCTTGAAGTTTCAATCTAAAGTCCTCTCTGATTCTTTCCAGCAACCCTGGTTTAAAAATAACGTCCAATGCAGTCATTGCCAGAGCTTTGGCCACACGTAAAGCATAGAACTGAGCTTCTTGTGATCCTAAAAGATAGAAAAAAATGAATTAAAATATCTCCATAGTTATTAAAAATTAATTCAAGTTATTTCTCAATATCTAAACTGCCTCTCCAACTGTCTACCACACTACAGTACTTAGGTGACGTTAGGTAGTGAAATAAGAAAAACAGCTACCACCAGTGAAAGAGAGCACACACCAAAAAAACACTCATGTCTGACACTTACCTGCAGCTTCCGTGTATTGTTCAGTATGATTCAAGGCCTCAGATCCGATGTAAAAATATGGATGAATTCCAGGAACCACAAAAGTAACATTTCCAAAATCAGTAGATCCTCAGAATACACAAAGTATGAAACTTATATTTGAATGATGAAATTATAACCAGAAACCTGTACTCGGCTATAGTTCTCTACCTTGTTAGAAGAGATCTAAAGAAGTGAACTCCTTGGAGAGCTGTCCATGCACCCACACTCTCACTGCCTCCCCTTCCACTTATTTGCTTCCACCTCCATCATTGCCGCATAGCCCTAATGATGTCTCCCGGGCCTGCTTGCCAGCCCAAGAGCTACTCTCACTTGTCCTCCAAGTAGCACTCCACTGTTGTCTTCCTGTCTGTACACTCTGAGGGCCCTTCTTCTGTCTCTCTCTGGACAGCCTCCTCTGACCATGAAGTATTCCTTATTCAAGATTCAATTCCAGGCCCTATCTTTTTCTTACACTTCATACTGTCTCAAGATTCTGTCCATGAGTATTGCTTCAAATAACCACCAACTCAAATTAATTAATTCTTAGTCTCTTTTAAGCTCCATGCTTGTACATCCAATTGGCAACCTGGTATCTCTGTTGGATGTCTTTAAACTATGTATTTTCAACAACATATCCAAACAAATTCCTTGCCTACCTGTTAGCAACACCTCCCAAACAGCTCAGAATCATAACACTTTTCTAATCACCTTCACCAACATCTGTCTTCCTTTTTTTGGTACCAGGGATTGAACTCAGGACCTTGTGCTTGCAAGATGCCACTGAGCTAAATCCCTGGCCCAACCCCTCTTCCTTTTCCAAGCACTCTACACTAGATCTACACTTTTTCCTGAACTAATATAACAGTCTCCTAATTGGTCTGTAGCATCTACTCTATTTGCTAATACTTTTTTCAATCTTACATGGTTTGGTCTGACTCCACTCTCCTTTCTAACCTCATTCTCATAACAAGCTCCCACTTATCCTCTAGCATCCAGCTGCTCTGGACACTCACCACGTTCTCTGCTCCACCACAGACCTTGCACATGGTGTCTTGTTTTTACCAACTTTACTTGTTACACTCTGGATACTACATTAAACACCATTTCCTTGGAGAAAGCTGACTTCACCTCCCTCATAAGGCCAAATTCCCCTAGCAGAGGCACTCACAGTATTATATTAATTTCCTAATTTACAGAACTTTTCAGTTTCAGTTTTCCATTTATTGAAGTATTGGTTAACGCCTGTCTCACAAACTAGAATGTGAAGCTCAATAAGGCAAGAAATGGTACTTTAAATCAGCATGCATCTAGCCTTTTACATGACTGAGGCTAACTTTTTTTTTTAGTAAATCATAGTAAAAACAAAGCCCTCGGGCCAGGGATTTAGCTCAGTGGTTCCGTCGCTTGCCTTGCAAGTGCAAGGACCCGAGTTCGATCCCTGGTACCAAAAAACCCCCCAAAACCAAAAAAAACCAAAAAACAAAGCCCCGTGTCCACTCAATGTATACAGAATGCTTATTATGCATCAAACACTGCCAGGCATAGTTAGACTACACAGGAATAAGTGATAAGGGAATGAAAGCAAAATATGTAACAGCAGCTAACATTTATCTGGAATTAATATGTTCTAAACATAATTCTACATGCTTCATATATATTCTCATTAATATTTTGAACAGTTCTCATTTTACACAGGAGGAAGCGGAGGTTTAAAGACATGAAATAATGTGCCCATATTCTCATAGATACTAGCTATGGCCAAGCTACTGGAAGTTACTAGTTACTACAAGTTACTAGTTACTACAGAAGTTACTAGTTACTACAAGTTACTAGACCAAGGCCAAGCTTTGAAGGTTCTATAAAAGCACACCACTTCAAAAAATATTCACTAAATGGGCCGGAGATTTAGCTCAGTGGCACTGTGCCTGCCTAGCAAGTGCAAGGTCCTGAGTTTGATTCCTGGTACACATACAAAAAAAATTCACTAAGCACTTCATAGTGTCAGAAATGGCTCCATACACTGGGGATATATGAGATGGTAGAGCAATGACAAGATGAACAAAAGCCTGCTGCGTATTTTAGCACCTTACTTGTGGGCATGACCCTAAAAAGCCTAGAAATCATAGCCAAATCATAGCCTCTTTATTCTACTGTTTTGTCTATTATATATAAGGCAAACCTTGGCTAGATCTCACCATGTCTCTTTCGGCAAATAGCTAGAATGTAGAAACATGCTAGGGTACAAGCACAGAACCATGAAATTGCCTTGACAACAAATTCAGTCTTTAGAATGGAGCTGAGCTCTCAGTGCTGTTCAGAAAATGCATGTGCGCACATACATACCCCTCTGATGAGCCTGGCCAACTCCTTTCCATAGCAATTCTCTAGCAATCCGCTAGCTAACCACCTCAACATTCACCTTGTACTACCAACTGCTTCCTAGGGAGGACATCTCTCACTCAATTCCTGCCCTCCTTCCCAAAATTTACCTGCATTTATTTCTGTCAAGTATTTCTTTTAAAAATCTTTCCCAAGTCTCCCTCAAGTTTGCATTCTATTTTACTTTAAAGCTAACTTTCTTAGAAAAGAAGACTCTTTCTTTGCTATCTTTTAAAAAAGAAGAGTCTTGCCAGGGATTTAGCTCAGTGGTTCTGGTGCTGCTCGCAAGTGCAAGGTCCAGAGTTCGATGCCTGGTACCAAAAAAAAAAGAACAGTCTTCCTTTGTTATCTCTACTGTCTCAACAGTAAATAAATAAAATGGGTGGAGAAGTGAGATTTTGCATCTGGTCTCAACCCCCCTTCAACTGTCTCTTCCAGACCATCCATAAATTTCTTATTGCTGGTCTAATAGACACAGACCAGACTTATCTTATTCAGTCTCTTCAGCACCTGACATTATTTATTCCTGTTCTAGAAGTTCTCTACTCCTTTGGCTTCCACGACTGCACTTTCCCCTGACTATCTGGCTTTCTCTAACTACTCTATCTCCTTCTCAAGCTCCTTTCTTTGCCATATCTTAAATGCTATTGATCCCAACGTTCCACTTTGTGCATCTTCTCCTCTCTGAACTCAAGATAATCTCATTAATACCAGTCTTCAATTACCTCCCACATACTGACAACTCCTAAGCCTTCAACCTAGATATCTTTCAGGGTTCAAACTCAGAAAAGCTACTGAACAGTTCCACTTAGAAATTATATAAGCACCTCAAATTTAACATACTAGCAATCTATATACCAACACACCTGGCCCCAAACCATTCTTGAATTCCTTTTCTCAGTGAATGACAATGACACTCCATTTTTATCATCAAGTCCTTTGGGGTCTACTTCATTAATATTTATTATATTTAGGAGATACATCTCTAACTTGCAAATGTACAGTAATAATATGCTTATAAAAGGAAATAAATCTAAAATAAACCCAAGTATGATTAAATTCTTTTTTTCCTCCTGGTACCAGGGCTCAAACTCAGGACTTTGCGCTTGCAAGCCAGGTACAGTGCCACTGAGCTAAATCCCTGGCCCTAATAATTTAAATTCTTATAACCATCGGTTACTCCTTAGAATCTGAAAATGCCCCAGATAACCAAGTACTTAATAACTTGTTTATTGTGATGACTGAGAACAAATTAAAATTTATTTCCTATTTTATTATCTTACTTCAAAATTTGAAGTGAATTTAAACACTAGAAATATTTAAAACATAGACCAAAAAGTGGGTTGGCTATTGCTAAAAACAAATCTATTAATTTGACATTTTACACTCATTGAAGAGTATGTTAGCTTCTTTCCCCTGACCATTAAGTTTGTGAAAATACCATTTAAAATATCAGCAGAACCTCTTCACCTCCAAACCATTAATCAAAATCATTTGACCAAAGATGGCATTTCTCTTCCTCAAATAGCTCAATAAATAAAAGAACTTAATTACCTGAAGGGCCATTCAACATTGCATCTTCTGAAATGAATTCTATACCCAGTTTTTTTCCATTTTCCATATAAGTTTTCCATAGGCTCTTATTGGGAAGAACATTGTAATAATCATGTGTTCCACTTTTAATTTCTACCTAATAAAAATTATAAAACATATTTTGAAATAAAAAACTCAAATAAGTAATTTCAAACAAGGGCTGGTTTTCAAACAGGAAAAGATATTAAGAGCAGGCACTTTCCCATCCAGATATAAATTCTCTCAAATCTCTTACCTTAAAAAAGGTATATTTTTATTTTTTTATAAAGAGTTCATAAAACCCTATCTTCTTACTTATGCGCCAAACCTTATAATGTCACCAAGCTCTATACTACCAGCATGTGCCAACTTCAATCATCTAAAAAGGGTTTGGGGATAACCAGAAACTTCAATTTTGATACTAGCACCCCCGAGTAATTTTGATACAGATGGTCAAAAAACCACATTCTTTGAAGAACACTGCTCTGTTTCATCTCCAAAAGAAAGAAATTCTGCATTACAAACATTCAACATACAAACAGACACTGACACTACAGCCTGGTCTGAAAGGGACCCTGTGAAAGCCTCATAACAAAAAAGAGCTGAAAATGGTCCTCATTTATTAATTCAAGTGTATGAAAACAGAGAAGCAGTTTATGTGTGCCCAGCTACATAGATTTAGACTTAGCTTTCATGGAATAAAAATGGGCACTATTCTCTCAAACTAAATTCCAAAAAGTTAGCAAAAGCTAATCATAAAATAGCAGAGATCACATCTATATTTGGCAATATCTAAGGTAGAAAAATGCCAACCTTGTAATCAGATCTTACAAGTCAGTCAAAATTATTAAAGAAATTATTTAAAAAATTATTAAGAAGGGCTGGAGAGTTAGCTCAGTGGTGCCACCACCTGCCTCACAAG